ACACATATATGCGGTTGTCTCTACAAAATTCTTGCTTATGTGTTTGTTTGTTCCGTAAACAACTTATGACTTTAAGCTTGCAACTTGTTTTGTGTTCACAATTATCATAAGCTAATAGTACGAGTTTCGTTTAGTGATGGTTTTTTATTTTTTGCATTTTCAAAATACTCATCCTATTACCCATATGTTTTTCTATTCTTTTTAACACAAATATTTACTCAACCAAGCCATTAATATTGATAAATACCCTTTATTCCAAACCAAAACTTTTGGCTTTATAAATTTGAATGTCGGTGGAAAATGATTAGTGAAAATTATATATATGCATATGATCCCTTAATATTATTATTATGAACCAACTTCCAAGTCATGATCAACAAAGCAATGAATAGGAATTTGGTGATTGCAGGTACACTCGATTGATTTTTTTTTTGGGTGCCGCAACAGAAAAAAGGATGGTGATTAAGATCTCTAATCCAAGGATTAGGTGTCACCACCAAAAGAAACTTCCATTAACAAATCTGCTTAATCCCCAACTAATGTTGGCGTTGTTGGGTTGATGCCAAAAAGAGAAATAGTGCCTTCTTCTTTTGCTTTTTCTTTTTGCCAAACCAAACACAAATAGTATCTGACAAGCAATTGAGATTGAGGTCTAGACATTAAAAAAAATTAAAAAAAATTAAAAAAAAAATAAGAAATGACATATGAATATAAAAGGCACGCATGGCTTGGAACAGCGACTGACTCTTTGAGATGCGACAAGAGCCGTCTTAGCTGGGTTTCATATTGGTAAAATTGTCCCATTCATATGACACCTTACTTTTTTTTCTTTTTTTTTTTAACCGTGATAGTTTTCGTTTTCAATTCGAATCTAATCAAAGTGCATAGACTAATACACATATTAATCATCTAATCAATGATTTATGTTAACAATTTTTTGTCAAATAAGTCAAACTTTCTGACTGGAGAAGATTTGTCTTTCCAATTAGTTTGTGATAAAAACATCCGACCATAATCTCGTATGTTGGACAATTTAACGTATTATGTTATTGAGTTGTGAATAATTACAGTTGATTTTGAGAACTAATGCATAGATACGAAGTGCCTAGTCTAATAATATTTAGTATTATATATCAAGATTAAAACCCTAAAAGTACATTTTTATACCAGCCGTATTAGGTACAACTGCTCTTAAATACTTGAATTACAAAACCCTTACACGTAACAGTAGACTTTACTACTAGAAAGAGGTACCATTTATGAACCCGCTATAATAAAATGGTTTAATTCATACATAAGTCAAAACCCTAGAAGTAATTTACTCATTCATCGACCTTTCAACTAAAAATATTTGAGAATGGTTAGAGTAGAGTGCAGGTAATTCAATACTAATTAAGATAGTTGAGAAGGCAAGACAATGAGGTAAATGTAGGACCATATGAACATACATGGCTCTTATTTTAAATCATAATATTGTAAAGTATTAGGAAAATTAAAGTCATACTTGACATTAATTTTCTACTAGTCCTTATCCAAAGCCAAGACCGTATGCCATAGAATATACTTTCTTCTTTTGTCGCTTCGGAATTATATAAAATGGATTTAGGGTCTAATTGTTTTTTAATCATCTCGAGGCTTTATCTTAGTATGAGATTATGTCCCATAAAGTGAAGGTACGTACGTAGGAACCGCACAATATGTATCTATATATAGAACTATGAGCTTAAAAGATGGTAGCAAGAGGGAACAAAAGAAATCTATCTTCAATATTTTTTTTTTCAAATTAAATAAATAATTTTAAAATGGGTAAGAATCATATGATATGAAATGGGAATAAAATTAGTAAGGAGCTCAAGTAATTAAATAGTTACTCTTGTAACCGAGGTCTTATGTTCGAATCGCTTATATTAAAAATGAATTAAATTGAGAGGTCCTAGAGGTGAAAAAGAAAAATGAGGACAAGTATTCGTTATGTGCAACATTAAAATTGCAATTACTACATTGCTTATTTTATTAGCAATAATGTAGTAAAGTTGTATAATAAGAGCCCGTTTGATAACGAGGATGTTGAAGTATATTTAAATCAACAACATTATGTTGACTTTATCTCCAAATGTATTTCCGCCATTGGTTGTCCCTATAGAATTAAATGGACAAATTTAGAGCCCGTTTGATAACCATTTCAATTTTAGTTTTTAGTTTTTAGTTTTCATTTTTCATTCTTTGTGCTATAATATAGAGGAAAAAAAAGTGAGAATGAGAGGAAAGGTGAGAGTGGAAGATGGGAGAGAGAAGTAACAAAAGTAAAAACAAAAGTTAAAAACTGAAATCTATTTGAAATTGTTTTCATTTCAAGTTTTTGTTTTCACTTTTGTTACTCCTCCCTCCCATCCTCTCTCTCAATCTCATCCTTACTTCCATTATCTCTTTCATTTTCCTTTATATCCTAGCACAAAAAATAAAAATGAAAAATAAAAAGAAAAATAGTTATCAAAGGGGCTTTTAGAAAGTAAATTTCAGCTCAATTTGTAATTGCGTGTAAATAGCTGACTCTATATAGAGTTCAAATTTTGGGATTTCCGCAAACAAAATATAATAGAAAATAAATTTTAAAATGAAAAATACAGAGAACAACTAGGGAGGGGACCATTTGCCTTTTAGTTTTATTAGCCATGTAGGTGAACAGTTGGCCATAAACGCCACACACAGCAGCACCCGCTCTCCCCCCAAGTGGGCCCCCACCGTTTTCATTTTGTATTTTTTTTTAGAACCCTTTTCCTAATCTTGCCATTTTGGGGCCCACCGGGCTCGAAAGTGGGGACCGCATCCCACAAAGGGGCCCACACCTCGAATTGATTAAGCCGGCGGCTGTCAGAGAAGTCAAAAATTCTCAGTGGTCCCGCTTCTCACAGCACGCCACGTGTAGGGTTGCGATTCTCTCGTTTTGGCGCGTGCTTCGAGCGGGTCCCATCGCCGTGGTCCAAGCGAGCAGCGCACGACGCGTGTCGAGGCGTCGTTTTCCCGCGAGTGCCGGAGAGAGGAGCGACGTAATTCATGGTCCCCTCCTTGTACAATCCTCGGCTCCTCTTCTCCCCTTCACCGTCTGTAGGAGGTAGCCAGTAAGCCTGTGATTATACGGTGCCGTTTTGAGCAATACATCGCGCTTTGTGGTTGGACGGTCCAGATTGGTAGTTGGTCACCCTAGCTAGGGTGACGTGGACGGCACGCTCCAAGAGTTGTGGGATACTACTACTAATCAGTACAAATATAAACTAATAAGGGCGTTTTCTAGATACAGTTTGTGTACTTTCGTTGTTGGGAAGTTGCTTTTCTAGAACCATATGCATATGGTAGTGGAGTGAGAGAAGGGAGTGTGAAATTGCTTTTTCTATAATCTAAATTGTTTTGGCATCAAAATATTCGAGTATGACGGTCACGTGTGAGTAACTTTGGGGTGGTGAGTGTGTCCTTTCACAAAATCACTTTTAATTTTGCTATTCATTGAGAGGATTTCTACTTTGATGCAATTCTTACCATTTTAGGATTCTATAAGCAACTTCTTTACCGACAATTTTAGATTAAGCTGCATTTAATTACAGTATTATTTCATCTATGAGATTAGGTTATTGTCCCTTCTAATTGTAATCGCTATTTGAATATGTGTTTTTTTCGTGAGGATTAACATTCGGTATCATTCTAGACAAATATCTAATTCAATTCTAATAGTTCATCTAATTTCAAATCGCATACAATTTATGGATGTTTAAAAGTCTACGCAAATGGACAAAACTTTATGATCTTTATTTATTGGGGTTTCATACAAAAGTAAACATCATATCAGTGATTATTAAATTAATCCCCCATCAACGATAATAATATGCCAAGATTTTCATTGAGTTATTTTACTTTTTGTTCTTTTTTCCCATGCTAACTTTTCGTTGTGAGTTTTTTAAAATTATAAATAGATTAATGCTATACTTACCACATGTTTATCTCATATTTCTATACTGCATGACGTGGCATCTTCATATCATACGCCAAATTAATTAAATCAATGAAGTATATTTTAAGAAAGAAAAAAAAAAGTGTTAATCACATTAATTAGCTAATGTGGCATGCACACATCAACTGCCGCATCATGTAGTATAAAAATATGATAAGACTAGTATTATTCCCATAAAGTGAAAGGAGTATTGATCACAACTACTCAAATAGTAAATCTCATATATTATGTTAAATTGGAAAAAAAATATAATAAGTGGTCTTACAAAATTTCACACATTCAACCCAAACATTTTGCTTCTTATTTAAAGAAATCTTTGCTACCCTTAATTAGATTCAAAATACCATTATTTTTCTTTGTAAAGAAATTAAAATACCTTATATTCTAAAATCAACTATTTGATCCGAATTTTCTATTTTTTCAACTCCTATATCATATTGTGAAATAATAATAATAAAAAATTCTTTTAATAGTAATAGGGACCCTTGGGCTCCTTGGCTCCTTAATTAATAATAAAACCTGCCACAAAATCCCACCATTTTTTTCTTGCTAAAGCAGTTTCTCGAGCTCATTTTGCTCGCCTGAAAACCACTCTGTCCAAAAACCTCTCTCTCTCTAAACAGCTCCTCAATTTCATCATATACGTTTTTGGTACCATCCCATATATAAGCTCTCAAAGCTTTAAACTAAACCCTTTCAATCTCTCTCTCCCCAAAACTCAAAAAAGCTCTCATCTTTCTCTCTCTAAGTTTCTATACACACACAGACCGTGTATTCTCTCTCTACAGAGAGATATATATAATCAAATCCAACCATATATCTTTGTCTTGTCTCTCTCTCCTATCTTCTCAGACTCTCAGAAAGCTTCTAAATTTTCATATCCATGTCCTCAGAATCATCGTCTACAATTGCTCCTTTTTAATTTGTAAAACACAGAGAAACAGAGTGTCCTCTGTCTCTGTCTCTGCAATTACTTTAATACCCAGCTGATCATCGATCATGGCGTACCACAACCACCTCTCCCAGCAGGACCTTCCTCTCCACCACTTCACAGACCAAACCCAGCAACAGCACCAGCCATTTCAATCCGACCAACCCGACCCGAACTCCAAGCCCAGGGAGCCCCACCACCCATTTCAGCCCGCCCCAAATTGGCTCAACACCGCCCTCCTCCGCAACTACACCAACGCGGACGCCAACAACAACCATAACAACAACAACGGCGGCGGCGGCGCTTCCAATTTCCTCAACCTCCACGTCACCGCCTCCGACTCCACCACCTCCCAGGCCTCCAACCAATGGCTCTCACAGCCCCACCGCCCCATCCTCCACCGCAACCACAGCGACGTCATCGATGACGTCACCGCCGTCGGGGGCGACTCCATGATCGCCGCCACCATCTCCCACGACTCCGCCGACCTCAAGCCCGACAGCAGCCTCAACAAGACGGACATCGTCGTGGAGAGCGGCGGCGGCGGCGGAGATGGCGGAATGATCAACTGGCAGAACGCAAGGCACAAGGCGGAGATTCTGGCCCACCCGCTGTACGAGCCCCTGCTGTCGGCACACGTGGCGTGCCTGCGGATCGCCACGCCGGTGGACCAGCTGCCGAGGATCGACGCCCAGCTGGCTCAGTCGCAGAATGTGGTGGCTAAATACTCGGCTTTGGGCCACGGCATGGTCGGCGATGATAAGGAGCTTGATCAGTTCATGGTACGCCTTTTATATTTTTTTGATTGCTTGTGTGAATTTGTGATGACTTAATTTGCTGACTTGTGTCTCTTGGCTTTGAATTGTTAAAGAGTCATCAAATTTGGCCAATCGACTATAAAAAATATTTAAAAAAATTGGAACAATTATTAAGCCTCATAATTTCAATCACAACACAAATTAGTAAGATTATAGTAGGACAGACGAAATTTTTTTTTTTTTGGTGAAATGGACAGACGAATTTGAGTATTTACAAATTTTGCACTTTGGAAATGAGAAATTCTTCTTCAATTTTGGGTAGTGTTAACGAGAATCGAGAAATTTTGTTTTGTGCTGCACGAAAGCAAGTCCTAAATATTGCGGTTAAGTTTAAATTGTTGAATTTAAAACAAAAAAGTTATGGGATTTAATTTTCAAGATGGTTTGGAGATGGTGGGTTTGCTAAAGCTGAGGAAACTAGTCTAGTGGTACGAGGGAAGGACTTGGCATGGTTGAAATGTTTCTGGCCATGAGAAGAAATAATGAGATTCCTGAAGATTTTGAAAAAATAGGGGTATAGGGATCTGAAAAAGCTTTAAGGCTTACAAGATATGGACAGTGGTGGTGGTGCTGACAGATATAATTTAAACATAATAAAAGTGAGTCTCGGGTGACACAACCCCAACTTTTTATAACAAAAGAAAAAAATAAACATGCGGGAAGACAAAAGCTGATATTCATGGCACAACAAGACAACTCTTGCTCTCTGCAAAGTTATTTGCTGATGTTCTTCTCTTGATCCTTAAGCTTAAACCCAATTACCATAATTAACAATCTGTTAACTTAATTTCTATAGTTTCTGATTGTTTCTGCTTGTTGATGATTTTATAGAGGCATTATGTTTTGTTGCTTTGTTCTTTTAAAGAACAACTGCAACAACATGTCCGGGTGCATGCCATGGAAGCAGTGATGGCTTGCTGGGAGATTGAGCAATCACTACAAAGCTTAACAGGTAATGTTTTTTTTTTCTGTAATGGTAGTGATCATGGCTCTTCAGCACCGAAGTTTTAGTTTCTTATACAAACTGGATGAACAGGAGTTTCCCCCGGTGAAGGCACGGGTGCTACAATGTCTGATGATGAAGACGACCAAGTCGACAGCGATGCAAACTTGTTTGATGGAAGCATGGATGGTCATGACAGCATGGGATTCGGCCCTCTTATCCCGACAGAGAGCGAAAGGTCGTTGATGGAGCGTGTGAGGCAAGAGTTGAAGCATGAGCTGAAGCAGGTAATAAAATTGAATTGTTGAGTGTAAATCTGTTGCATTTCCTCCGTTACCAATCTGAGCAAAGTTTTCACAGGGTTACAAGGAGAAAATCGTAGACATACGGGAGGAAATTTTGCGCAAGAGACGAGCTGGAAAGCTTCCTGGTGACACCACCTCTGTGCTAAAAGCTTGGTGGCAATCACATTCAAAGTGGCCATATCCAACTGTAAGTATAGGTCAATGAGAAGCTCTTTGAGTTTGCATGCTTATCATTTGAAAGTTTTTTAGCTTTCCTGCCACGCATGTAGGCTTGTGGGAGTCTTTAGAGTACTAACTTAAAGATGAACACATATAAACAAGTTTAATTGTAAAATTGTAGCCTAGCATACTAGCTGAAACTGCTTTGGCAATCCTTTAGTAAGCCAACTGCATTCACGTTTTGCTCATCGATACCTAACTATCGTAGTTTTCATATAAATTTTCAGGAGGAAGACAAGGCTAGGTTGGTACAGGAAACTGGTTTGCAATTAAAGCAGATAAACAATTGGTTCATCAATCAGAGGAAGAGGAACTGGCACAGCAATCCTTCAACCTCCACAGTTTTGAAGAGCAAACGCAAAAGGTATATTCATTGAACCTTGCATTCTTCTCAACTTTAAATTTCTCATGAGCGTCCCACCAACCTTAATTCAAAAAGAAGTAATGCAGGTGAAAACAGCGGTGATCGATTCGGATGAATGGAGAAAAGGAAACGAGGGCCATTCCTGGGATGATTATTTGTTCATGCTTCCACTACATCCATAATTTCAACATAGAAACTGTGATAGCATAGGACTTCATGGAAGAAGACAACAGGGTTGAAGTGAAAGAATCATATTTTGATTCTACAGAAAGAAAAAGGCTAACACTGATTATGAGCCGTTATACAGGTATGCTCAAAGGCTGCAGATGGAGTAGTATCATATATCGTTAGGAGTTCAGTATTTAGGAATTATGTTACTGAATCTGAATTGGATAGTCCACTAGAGGGCTTACAATTTTTTGTTTATGATCTTCATGTCTGTGAATAAGAACAGTGAGGGGTTGTGGTGGGTGTACAGTGCAATGACCTGAGCGTGGTTCCTTACATACATCACACTGGTGATTAAATTAAATTATAGCTTTTCTTTATGGCATTTTGTTGTAGAGATGAATTTGTAGTAAATAAAGGTATGTAAATTTTTAGAGTGGCATCGTTGACGCTCTTTCGTGCAACCAGATGGCATGGATCATGCTGCTTCAGGTTTCAATTTCTTTTGATTGTGTTGTGAAGTGACTTGGTATATATAAGTTCAGATGTATATGCAAAAACCATGCACCAGTTTCTCTAGATGGCATTGGTTTGGAGAAGCTGAGGCAACTACCATAGAAATTAGATAACAGAACATAAAAGAAACAGAACTTTAGAAAATATGCCCAGAGAATTATACACAACAAGTAACATAAAACAATCAAGTACTGGCAAAATTTAGCTGTTCATAAATTTGTCAGAAAGAGATCAAATGAAAGAATGAATAATAAACAAACAAGTAGGTCATTTTCATCTATATGTGAAACACGTATAAAACTGAGCAAGAGCAACAACAGCAAACATGAGGACAGGGAGAGTTAGCAAATCAGAACTTGGCATTGTTCATCCCTGGAGAAGCTGCAAATCCGGCATTCAAAAAATGAAGGTACGAAGTACCCTCTACTTCCCTGTCAAACCCCCCATCGTCGAAATTAAGCGCATAGCTTTGCGGATCATACTGAAATTGCACCCTTCTTTTCTTGTAAATTGTACTGAAGGAGCGGATGAAATTCTTCCACTTTGGTCCTGCCAAAACCTCCGAAAACTCTCGTATTTTCTTCGCATTCTCCACCAACCAAATTTCTTTTACTTGATCTCCTTCTTGTTGTTGTTGCAGTAGATATCTCTGTGTTCCAATGTTGCTTCTTCCACGCAGTGCTCTAAAGTAAAATCCCCATAAACAACCACAAGAAGAATATGGAGCTATTTCTTCCTCATCAAAGTCATCATAACTCTCTTCCGGTGGTGTCGAAACTTCGTGAATTGAGGCCAATTTCTCAGGTGGGTTTGCCATGGGGATTGAGAATTTGAGATCAAAGATGTGATTAATGCAAAAGGGGATGATCAAAATGAAGAGAAATGTGAGTTTTTATATTGATATTTAATTAGTAATTAAACACCTACGCTCCTACCACGTAAATGCTAGCTAGCTATGAGCTTGAGCTCGAGTTTGAAGCTTTCTTTTTAATGTCTTTAATTTTTTTGACAGATCAGAGAGATTCAATCATTGAGTATCTTCTGGGTCGGTCTTCTTGTGTGCCGGCCGTTGCCAATTGCCACTTTGCCATTCGCCAACACCCCATTTGCAGCTGTGACTTGCATGGCATCTGTTAGTTGACAGTTAAAAACACCAAACTGCTATTTTGTTTTCTACAAGGGATCTTAGAAATAGTGGTTCTCCAACATTGATTGTTAATATGCTCTGTCTTGTACTTGATTTCTTCGTGCTTGCCACTAATTGTTTAATTTCTCTTCTGCCTGTCACTCATCGTTAACCTCCGTTTGGACAAAGGAATTGAAAGTTGCATAGAATTCTTAAATGACAGAATTTAAATCTCCATCTGTTTAAATTTTTGGCTATTAATAATTTTAGTGTTTAAATTTATGTATGTCGAATTTTGTAAATGACAAAAATTACAGTGAAAAACGAATTTTGGCTTAATAGAAATTGCAAAATGACACTTCTTTTGGAGGAAATTAAACTCAAGAATCTTGATCCCTAATTTCTACGATTTTTTCCGCTTGTCATTTATTAAGTTTCATCCTTTAGTTGCTAAAAAATGGAAATAACAATTTATGCTCTTCAATTCCTAACTTTTAGCTAAATCCCAACTTATTTTCCTTCATCCAAACATATAGGGTAATGTCAATAAAATAAACGAAACTTAAACAATTTGCTAATTTCATACTACTTTTTAGGCACCATTTCTACTCATAAGAGTTTTTTTAGAAGCGCTTTTGTTTAAAGAACGTCAAATTTTTTTTAATATCGAAATTTTTGGAAATGATTCTTGAAGACTCACCTATAAAGTGCATTTGTGACTCCAAAGCACTTATAATTTTTTTTTTCTCAATGCTATTAGAAACGCTTTTAGCATTTTCATAAGTACTCCCAAACATGTAGTACCAAATAGCCCGAAAACAAAAATAATCAAATTAAAACAATTAAAAGAAATTTGAAATTGACCCAATTTGGACTCAAATCAAGACATTATCTATTAACTAAAGGATAATATAAATATAATATAAAAGTTTACAAGACGAGTTCATGGCCTCATCAGCCCAGATTATAAAATTAAAGAGAAATGGGCTTTATAATATATTTCCTTCATTGGCTTGCTTGTGCTTGCCTTGGTCAATGTGGGTCAACATTTGTTTCCATGGGCCGAACCAATAAGCATCTGCCCCGGCAGCGCCTTTCCCTATTTCTTTCGTCTCCTTCCCTTTTTGGAAGCTCAAAAGTCTAAATATTTTCACAATCCCGTTTGCAGAGCCCAAGCACATGACGAAATGAAACACTGGCCTGATCATACGAGCATATAAATAGAAAGCAACCGCATTTGAGCTTCAGCTAAACGCAGCAATCTCTGGACGCAAATTCGAACACTTGGCAGGCGGCGTAGCCCCCGCCGCTGCCGTCATCTTCGACGGCGATGGCTGGGCCAGCAGTCCGCCGAACTTCCTGAGAGAGATAAGCTCGTCGTCTCGGTTCACATCGTCCTCGAAATTCATCGCGTAGCTCGACGGGTCGTAGCTGAAGTCGACCGAAGTCGACGAGTGCCGGGTCCTCCCCCGCCTCCTTGAAGCGACGCCGTTTGCTTGGCTCGTCGTCCCCTTGTTCTCCGCCGTCGCGACAAAGCACTCCTCGTTCTCCAGAATTTCGTCGAGCTGGTTGGGGCTGGTCTTTTTCTCGTGCGACGTCGTAGGGATGGACGAGGCCGAGAGCCGAGCGGAGAAGCCGTGGAAGAGGAGCTGATCGTCGGCGCGGCTGGTGTCGTCTTCGAAGTTAAGGGCGTAGCTGGAGGGATCGTAGCTGAAGTCGGCGGAGCCGTGGCAGCGCCGCCCTCTTCCAGGCCTTGCGCCGCCGCCGATCCTGGAGATGAGGGTCAAGCACCGGTCTTTGAGAGCGGAGAAGCCGTGGAAGAGGAGCTGATCGTCGGCGCGGCTGGTGTCGTCTTCGAAGTTAAGGGCGTAGCTGGAGGGATCGTAGCTGAAGTCGGCGGAGCCGTGGCAGCGCCGCCCTCTTCCAGGCCTTGCGCCGCCGCCGATCCTGGAGATGAGGTTCAAGCACCGGTCTTTGATCTCCGGCAACGGCGACCGAGACCTGCTGCAGTTGTTGCAGTAGTCGCCCTCCCTCTGGAGAATGTCGAAGGGGTGAGTGCTCATGCTGGTGAAGCAGGCCGGGAGGCAAATCGACCTGGATTGACGCTTGTGGTGCGGAGTGCTCGTCGCAGATTGAGATCGATATCCCTGGTTCGACATTGAATTGAATTGGAGTGCAAGTTTCTTTTCTTTTCTTTTGGTTTTTCTCGGGAAACAAACAAACTGAATTTTGATTTTCGGTTGATGGTTGAGTGGTAGCGGGTAGTGAGGTATTTATAGGTTGAGGGTTGAGTGGTAGCGGCATTTGCGGTCTGGGGAGGTAGCTGGAACAAGCGGAGAAGCCGTGGGTCGTGCGTTGTTCTTAGCGGGTTTTGCCTATTTGCTTATATAATTATTTAAAAATAAAAAATGAATTATCTTTATTTTTGGGTGTAAAAGCCGCGTTTTGGAGAATTGGTGGAGTCGGGGAGTTACCTTGTATTTGTTATGTATCTGGCTTTTTTGCCTATTTATTAGTCTCTAAACTTAGAAAATCATTGTGTAAGCATAGTTGTATTTGAATATGGGTTTTAAAAAAGAAGAGGCAAACTAATTATGGGTTTAGATATTTAAATATGTCAAACTTATTTTCTAAGAATGCACTATTTCGAATAAAACGAATGTTAGAAAGATCACATTTATAAGCCGTGTTATGTAGCGAGAACATTACATCAAATTATTATAGTCAGTTGTTAATATTTATACTGAAGTTTATGATATGGTTGCTAAATATGGAAGAGGGATTATAGGTTGATTTACCAACCTGATTAAACAAAATATATACCGTAGAGACCAGAAGAAAGAAATAAGGAATGTGGATTGACTGGTTTATGAGAAACCGAGGACTGGTTTTCTTAGGGGAGTCAGCTTCTTAAAACCTGATCTTATCTACTAAAAGAATATGGCCAAAAGCAATGGTTTTTGCCTTTTTCGATCATGTGCATGCATGAGCATGAAGGTCATCACTTAATGCCAGGTGTTAGGATGTGATTTGTGGATATTATATTCAATGGATAAGCAATGAATAAATTATCAGCGCCACATGCCATGAAGGTGGAGGTGAAGCCTCTTCTTGTCTTGAGGCTCTTAGCTCATAACTTGCCTGCAGTTCAGCCGTCCAAGTATGGTTGATCATTAGATCAAACGCGAATTTGCTTGTATGGGAACACGTTTGTAGCCGTTAGATCAAATCGTTCATCATTCTATACTAGGGTTACATTAAGATGTACCTTTGCAGTTTTGAAACTCAAATGCAGTGTGGAACATACTTGCTACTCCTAGATATGCAAAGGATAGCACAATAACAAAAAAACCTCATCCGCTAATATGCTAAACCAACTAGCTATTGGTCTACTAGCTAATAACCACAGATACATTGATATGAGTCCACAAAAATGATTCTGAAATTCTAAAAAATAATAATAATAATTAGGATACGGATGCGATTTAAATAGTCTATGTAATAAATACATATATAATTTTGCTAACGAAATCTAACCCGAAAAAGAGCCTTGACTTGTAGACTAATGGTATTAGGTTCGAACTCTCATAGCATCTTAGCAGTGTATGAGAAAACCCCATTCCCCTTCATAAGTGCATTTCCACCCATTTGTCATGGCAAAAGGCAAGGAGAGGCAAGAGCAGTTACTATTCACATGAATAGTGTCAGCCCTAGCAATTTTTTTTGTTGGTTTTCCACCCATTGCCATGGCAACTACTATTCACATGAGATATGAGCAAAGGAATTTGTATAAACTTTTGGTGTGGGAAGCAAGGGCGGAACCATGAATTTTTCAACGGGTGGGCTAGCTAAAGTTATTAACTTAAAATTTAATGATTATTTTTTTTTGGTACTTACAATTTCTATAGTCTTTGTAGAAATAAAAGTAAATATTAAATCATATAAACCACGCTAGTTCATAGCTCCATAAACTAATTTTCAATAAGTTTTAACATAAACCAAATAGGGTTTAACACCATTGTGGATTGAACATCTAAGGCTTTTTACTTAGATTGACATTAGTTCCTTCATGCATTCATATCATACATGAAAAATTGTTTTATGTAAAAACATTGACTAAGTATGAAAAATGGGTTTTCAAAATAATCATTTTCTGAAGATAATATTTGGCAGCTTTTATTCCTCACACATCAAATAAGAAAACTTGATTTTATGGGATTTTAGTATGAAGTATATATTGACTTAATGAGCCATCATTTTTAGCATAAATCGTATTTTGCACTAAAACCGATTTTTCATATTTTGATTTGGTGGGAATTTGATTTTCTAGTATTTTTATTTGAATCCAAACGGGGGGTACTTCTTTATTTACATTGTAAACTTAAGTAAATGGAGTAATATAAAAATAAATAAAAGTAAAATGACAAAGACATTTACTTAAATGTTGAAAGTGGAAATAAGGTAATCTGTACACCGTCACTGACTGGGCTAATATTGAAAATAAGTTAAATACATAAGTTTTATATTTTTTTCTTAAAAAACCACACTGGGCTACAGCCCACTGTAGCCCTTAGTGTGGTTCCGCCCTTGGTGGGAAGTGAATAATATGGGTAGGTATTTATTTTTTTTTAAAAAAAAATCTAAAATATTTAGTATTTTTTCCTTCATTCGTTTTTTCAAAATTTTTTTGTTATTTAAATTGGCTATTGCAAAGGACCCACTAGTGTAGTTGTTTGGAGTATTTACTCCCTCAGGCAAGATCCTGGGTTCGAGTCTTAACATCCGTGTAGTGTATGTGAGTTTAGTATGCTATTGCCCCTTTCAATAGGAAAGGTCCTCAAAAAAAGAAAAAAAAGAAAAAAAAAAAAAGGCTGTTACATTAGGTCAGCTTGCCCACGCAAGTCATGCCTTTCGGCTTGCCCAGGTTGGTAGAACCCAGCTCTTGCCCTTGCAAGACTTGGGCCTTGAAAATACATTTGGGGGCTCTTGCTCGGGCCCATGCCTCTCAATTGAAATGCTCTAACATTAGCCAAAAAAAAAAATGAAGAAAAAATTGTTGAATTAACAAATTAATCTACCATACAGTAACTGGTATAGGCTATATTTTTTGGGAGCCTTTTGAAGTCTTTCTTATGGTCCTTTTGACGTCTTTGTTATGGCCCATTAGAGCATCTCCAACCGATATGTTAAAAGTGCCACATAGACATTTAACGACTAGAAATAACATCTCACATCACTCCAACTGAATTGTCAAAGCTGATGTGGAATGAAGGCTGGAGGTTCAGCCGTTACTTTTGACATCCCAAAAGCAAGATGTCAAATGAATATTTTATTATTTTTTAAAGATAGCTGACTGTTACTTTCGTTTTTTTTATAAAAAAAATCTTGAATGATTTGACTGTTACAATAATTATTTATTTGACATATCGGGTGGAGTGTAAAAATGTGTCAATGTCAAATTGCCACATCAACCATCAAATTTAAATTTGATGTTTGGTATTTGACATCTCCCTTGAAGATGCTCTTACGTCGTGCAGGCCTAGTCCAATCAAGGATGATTTAGTACACGGTACTATAGAAAGCGACTATAATATTTTAAAAAATAAAAACTAAACACACCGAGTAAGAGTTCAGTTTTCATGTGACCGAACTCCCTGTGCCATCCTGTGACCTCCTTATTCTTTTGACACATGTCCCTTCACTTAACATAAAATTAACACCGTTAACTTCATTTGAAAATTAAAAAACAAAAAAATAATTCTTCATCCTCTTTCTCTTTGGTCTGTGCCCAGATATTCACTCTCAGTGACAATTATCATGCAAAACTTTTCCACAACAATAACCCATAAGTGGTAGATTTGTATGTGTATTTTTGTCTGGTCATCAACATCAATGAACCCATCTTAAATTCACAAGCTTTTCTTTGTTGTGTCTTTTTCATTGATCAAATCAGATTGTTGATATCGCCGAGGTAACGACCGCTGGCCTGGTTAATTTCCGACAACCGCACATCAATTGGCGACACCCACGGGCTCCGATTTATGAAATCCAAATGAAACCTAGGGGTGGGCACGGTACGGGATGACACGGGATGGAGGTCATCCCGGTGTCAATCCCGAATAGGAGAATCGGGACGGTATGACACAGGATGGGGGATTTTCAAAACACGTTCAAACCATACCGGCCCCAATCGGGACCGGTATGGTTCGGTATCAAAACTGATACCGTTCACCTTAGGCTAAAACGAAACCAAGATCTTTTTCTCTGTGTTTCTCTCTTCTTATTTTTTTCTTCTCTTTTTTAATTTCTTCTTTTTCTTCTCATCTATTATCCAAGAAAGAAACCCATTTGAATGAATGGTAAGGTCAAAGATGCAGATGAAGCAGCAGCCGAATGCGGTGGTAGGATTGGGATCTCGTCTCTACTGCCGGCTCAGGAACCCCGGCTTTGCTCCTGGTGGCCTCCCCACCACGACGATGACGACCGCGACTCCACATGCACACCATCCACACCAGAACCAAGTAGATTACGACCACCAAGATCTAAGATTTCCACGCTTTGATTTTGACTCTAGGCTGATCGCTTAGGCTCATCGAAGAGAGAAACATAGAGAAACAAATAAGGCTAAAGAAAAAAATAAGAAGAGAGAAACAGAGAGAAAAGAGAGAAGGAAAGAAGGGGGAAGAAAAAGAAGAGAGAAGAAATAAAAAAATTGGCGGAGAGAATAAAAAAAGTAGCGTGGTCTCGCTGGCCTCACCACATCCAAGCTTCAAATGTTGGAAATAATATTTTAATATTTATTATTTAATATTAATTAGTTACTGTACGGTACGGTATGACACCAAACGGGATCACAAATCTGATACCGGTGTCGTGCCAAACAGTAACGGGATGACACGGTTTCATCCCGTTTAAGCATCAACCCCAAACGGTTTGGCATGAGTTTGACACGGAATGGCACGGTTTCGGGACGGTATCGGTATTCCGGTTTTGATGCCCACCCCTAATGAAACCACCGTCATCCAACACCTGAAAGTTGTCGAACTCGCCTTAGAAATCTTTGTCGAATTTGCAATTTGCCGAGTGCCGAGCTGCCGAGCTGCCCAGCAACAGAACCGCCATGCTCCGACGTACAAAACCCCGTCAACCTTTTAACCACCTTATGCCGGAAAAC